TTCTAACCCCATGCTAATTATAATCATTCTACCTTAGGGCTTTTCCCACCATGAAACAAACCAAAATCCTCTCCCAAGAGCAATATCTTAGATTATAAGGCTTAAGAATCAATTTACAAAATAAGGGAGTAACTAACTTATCTTTATCGAAGAATTTGGTGGAAAAACGGGTGATGACTCTAAATCGCCCCTCTCAATTTCAAGAACAAAGTTGCAGCAAAATAAGATTTTTTTAGACTTTTCTACATAAAATCTCAACTTACTAAGTTATAGCGGCATCACCATAGCAACTTCCCCCGCTATAGCGCCTGCACAACCGCCATAACGGCTTCCCCCGCTATAGCACCAGCACAACCGCTATACGACTGCACAGACATCCCGCTATAGTGCCATGCCAGCCGACATAACTGCTTGTACGGAACCAGAGACTCGTAAACCTCCCCAAAAGCCCCTATTTCGCGACTTGCCTTCAATCCTTGATATTCTATACCAACCCTTTTAGTTCAAGTTCAATTTCAGTAGTTTTACTCACCCGAATTCGATTCTGAAAGGCCCGATGTGTTCCTTAATGTCTTGGCTACTAGACAATATAATTCAAATCTAAACATATCACCTAAATCATTTCTGGATTTCCCTAGACCTCACCTCTTTCAGATTTCATCTAAGACTAGCCTAACCTAAAATTTTTAAGTCACTACCTAAAAAAAATTCTGACCCAATTTCTTTCACCATTGGCCTACTCATACTGACCGAGACAGATCATTATATGACTGCAAATGATCAAGGATAAAGGAACGAAGAAGCTTTCTATACTTATGAGAATGACACTCATTATGTGAACAATCAATCGGAGGATTTCCGTCCTGACTATTAAGGTTTCAATCAAGATTAGAACAAAGAGCAGCAAAATACAGGGTGAAGATACACGAGCCATGATAATTGGGACCAAGGCTTCAACCACAAAAATGCAAATTCATATGTCCCATCCCAAGATATTCACTATAATGCAGAACAAATCATCTACTCTTATCAACCAAGTTGAGCTGCATGTCAGTAATAATAAACCAGAGGCAGAAGGACACTTTTGCCCGTGACACATAACTAATCCAAAAATTAAAATAAGTAATGCGAGTCAGTGCATGGCTATCGCAACACAAACAAAAATTAATATTATTATTTTCATCAAATGCACATATGAAGGGACTCATTATTTATGTTCATCAGTTAGATTTTCTTATATCTTTAATTATTAAGTACTCTGTATATCATAAATAACTATTTTTTTCGATATACATCATGAAATTGATAACATATAATCTACTAATAATCATTAAGAAGACATCGACTTTGTGAATAATATCTACGAGATATTACTTTCATTCAATAATATAAATGTCGGTTGAAATAGTTTAATTGTTCATTAATTTGGGCTTATATTTTTACCATTAATTTTATTATATAACATATGCAAAAACATGAAGTTACCACTGAAATTGTCCTGAATTTTTAAAAAGACACCTTAACTTTGCGGGCGTCGTGTTTGAAGTCGGAGACATTGCATGTATTCTTTGGAAATGTTTCTCTAATGCTTGTGGAATCCTTCACAACTCTAATGAAACTATCAGGGCTAAGATTATTAGATGGTGGTTGATCAAATATGTCAACAAAGTTCATGAACTCCTTCTCCAGAGTCTTCCATCTATTATTTGCTGGGAAACTTGGAAATGTAGGTGCATTTTCAAACATGAAGGTGTTAGAATTCCTATTCCTAGAATCATATATTGATCAGATCTCCAACCTCCTCTATTTGATTATTAAATCTATTTTCCATAACTTCCACTTTCACCTTCTGTTATCAGTGTCTCTCATCTCACAAATCACATCACACCAAAACTTGAATTTAAATTGGTGAAATGGAAGAGACCAAACTATAATGAGCTAAAACTGAATGGGGATGGTTGTAGTAAAGAAAAGCTTGGTAGCCATGCTGGACAAATGATTATGGCTTTCAGTGCCTATGTTGGTTTTTGCTCAAATAATTCAGCTGAGGCTCTAGCTCTAAAGACTGGCCTAAGATGGTGTCTAGATCATGGTTTTCACAGAGTTACTGTTGAGTCTGACTCCCTCTTAATTATTCAGATGGTTAAATGTACGATCAATCCCCCTTGGCAGATGAAAGATGATATAAAACAGATCCAATCCATGAGTTCACTTGGTGACTTCTCTTTCATTCACACTGTCAGAGAAGGTAACACTACAACTGATTTACTCGCAAATATGGCTGAACATTGCAAAACAACTACCTTCTTCACCGAGGCCATAAATCTTCCTTCTAAGGTTACTTCCACTTTGAAGAATGATGTAGTTGGCAAGCCCAACATTAGAATTCAAGTGAAGAAGGGCAACTTCATATTCGACCCTGGTTAAATTTTGTTTGGTTGCTTCTAGTTTATGCATTCTAGAATTTTTTGTAATCTTACGTGACGAGGAGCAACCCTCCTCCTTTTTTCTTTCCTTTTATTTTGATAAGTTAGAGAGTAAGGATGTGCCCTCACTCCTAGTTTTGTAATGCGGAGGTGATCAGGTTTCACCTCCCTCCATGCTCATTTGGCTTATCTATAGAAGCCCCTTTGAGGGAACCTTTAAATGAAAAAAAAAAGGTTTGTCTTAAAAAAAATAAAAAATGCAAGCGTCCTATTATCTCACCAAAGTATTGAATATCTTTGTAAGAGGTCATTTTGATCCATTTCTCACCTGGTTTGTGAACACGCATAACACGCGTGTGAATGTTTGTTTTTCGTGCTAAAAACCAACTAAAAGGTGCCACATTTCAGTTCTTTTCTTTATTAATTATTTACTTTATTTAAATTCATCCTCTTCCCTAGAACAAGCTCAAAAGTGCCGTTGGAACTCTCTTTGACGAATTCATCATCTTCCCCAAAAACTATTCATTTTTAATTTCCAATCGAAGAACTTAATTTGAAATTATTCAAGGTTTAATTTATTCTTAATTTTATTTAGTTTTGAGAAATCAAGATATTTTTGTGATAAGGTTTAATTTCTTTTTTAAAATATGACCTTTTTCAAGTAATATAAGAAAACCCTAACTTATTAACCTTTGAGATGATCTCTACTCCACTATCACTTGACTAAGAAATCGAAGAGGCATGAAAAGCTGAGAAATGAAAAAGAAAAGAAAGATATTCAATATCAAATGATGCTCACGACACGTGTCTTACCAGGTGAGAAAATGGCTCATAATGTTCCTTTTACAAAGATATTCAATACAGGTAATAAAACACCTAAAAAGTTAAAATGACTTTTTAAAAATTCGAAATAATAATATTATTTATATTGTTTAAAATATTTTTAACAGCATGGAACACACGTATTAAAAAATAAATTAAAAAAGCAAACTAAAAAATCACTTGTCCACACATTGGGATGAGAGTGAACACATGCAACCGCATAAACATAACACCTCAGCACTTCCTTTTGATGTTTTCGTATAGTACTACACACGTATGCACAACACATTATGTCATGTCCACTGATACTTAGAGGTAGAGGTAACAGTCTAAATGATAAATTTATATTATAGTAATAAATTTATTATATACTATAATATTATTATAAAACTTAAAATCAATAAAAATTAAAATTCTAATTTTGAGCTTTACTAGAAATATATGTATATTCTCCATTTTTGTTCTCTACAAACTTGTACACAGATTAATTCAGATGAGAGCAACCAAAATTCATCCGAAAACACATTTTAAATATATATAAGTTGAAGAAGGGAAATTAAGAATATAACACTCTTCTAACGTGGTTGTGGTTTTGGCTGTTAATTCAAAGTTCAAATTAGCTTCTTATAATAAGGTCTATCTCTTTCCCTACTCATTCTAAACATATTGCAATTTTTGTTAGCTTCATTTCTCTTCATTAATTAGGTATATTTATGTTTTTTCTTGTAATAATGCAATTAATTTCCTTTGAGATTTACTATAGCGTAGGAAGTTGGGCTTTGATTTGACTTGTGTTTTGTAGTTGACTCAATTATTTCGTAACATACTATGTTTTGCCCGGTATAATTTTTGTTCTTGATTTTAATTGATGCTACTACATCTCCAAAGTAACAATTTCCACCTTTTCTTTTATAGTGATTTGAATGGTCTTATAATCAGAATTTTCACTCAGAGTTTAAAATATGAAGAAGTAAGTACACAAAGAATCTGAACACTGTTTAAAAATAGTTTTTAGCGACAATAAATATGAACATTAACAAAAGAGTGCTAAGACCGTTAATTATCATTTGATTCAACGTCGCTACATATTTTAGGAACATTTACAAAGAGTGTTAATTGTCTCTATGTATAAATAGTATAAATTTTCGCTGAAAAAAAGTACGAATGTTCCCTACTCCCCTACGTGGCTACTAGGGCTAGTTGTTAATGGCTATGGTTAAAAAATCAAACCGAACTGTAATCTGAACCAAATCGATTAAAAAATCTGATATTTGGTTTGGTTAGGTTTGGTTTTTAATTTTGAAAATCAATACTATTTGGTTTGGTTTTGGTTTTACTTAAAAAATTGCAAAAATGACCTAATCGAACCGAGAAATTATATAATATAAATTTTATAATTATTTACATAGTATTTATAATAAAATATAAATATTTTGTTAAATTTAATTAATTTACTTAAGTCTTTGGTGTATAATGACTTTAATATTGCTTAACTAAATCATTTTGTTCGTGTAATAATAACTCTAGCATTGCTTAATTGCTTATTGAATCCACATTAGCTTTTTTGTAGATTGTTCATGTAGTAGGTGTCGTCCGTGTCTATCAAGATGCGTATTCCCTTAACAAACTTATTACTTTCAAACCGAAAAAATAAAAAAAATCGAACCAAAACAACAATCATTGCTGAATACATATGGCTGAATCCACAGTAGCTTTTTTGTAGATTTTTTGCTTGACAGTGAGTTAAGAAACATGTCACTGTTGGATCTTCTCAACTTGGATCTCTCTGAATGCCACAAGACAAACAAAAGTAAAATCATTGCTGAATACATATGGTTAGTTTCAGATCTTTGTTTTCCATTTTCTCTACAGTATTTTGCTGTATGCTTTGTGTTCTTTTCCTTATTGCTTTGTTTATTGGTGTTTCTTGTTACAAGTTTTGATCATTTCATATAATATTGACTTACTATTTCATAGTATATAATACATATATTCTTTTGTGTAATAGGTAGTGTTTAGTTTTATTATACTAAAAAATAATTTTCTTGTTCTGATATGTGCATTTATCAGGATTGATGGATCTGGTATGAACCTGAGAAGCAAAGGAAGGGTAATTCATATCTCCCTTTTCCTTTTTCAATATTTGCATGGCAATATATACATGTATGTTTGTTTGATTTGGTAACAACTTTGGGCCTAACTCATGCCCCCAAAAGCTAGTTGTTGGGGGGTGGGGGGGAGCACAAGTTTATTTAAGTCCCACTTCAGCTCCACATTCAGCAGATTTGTGACACACAAGATCGTAACAATAATTAATGGCAGAGTCAGGATTATTAGTTTTAATAAGGAGGTTCAAAATCTAAAGAACTGAACACACGAACTAGGGGTTCGACACATGAAAAAAATATATATTAATCATATGTATATAATATAATATTTTTTCGCCGAAGGGGGTTCAAATGAACCCCTGACCCAAGTGGGCTTCGCCATTGATAACAATCTCCTCGCTTGATACCAACGACATCGTTAGTCACAATTGTCACCTCTTTCGAGTCCAGGCCACCACTATTGACACATAGATCGCCATTCGGAGTGTTGACCCTATCTGTCAAACGATTGGCTCTGATGTCATGTAACAACCTTGGGACTTTCGGGGAGTGAGTTAGGCTCAATGTTGTTACAAATTTTATGATAAAAAAGGTCTATTATGTTTTCTCGGAATTATGATCTTTAAGGGAATATTGACATCTAGGGTGTGTTCGGTACGAAGGAGAATGTGTTCTCTTAAAAAAATATTTTTTAGGAAATTAAGTGAGTTCCTTACTTATTTTCTTTTGTTAAGTACGTAAGCAAAATTTATTATTCTAAACACATTTATTTATAATCTAGACGAATACTATAGGAATTAGGGGTGTGGAGTGGTAGGGATCAGGGCTATCGGGGTTGGGGTGAAGATGAGGTATGTTGAAGGACAGGGAGGATACAATTAATGTAGAATGCCAATAGTGAAACTTGTTTTCCCTCTTTCGTTAGGAAAATCATTGTCCGAACTTGTTTTTCTGGACAATTTTTTTCAAAAATTTGATCAACCGAACCGAACATCAGAAAACTGAATTCTTGTTTCCTCCAAACGGAACACACCCCTTATTGTGAATTCGATCTGTGGATGACAGACCCTACATGGTCCTGTTACTAATCCTTCTCAAATTCCAAAATGGAACTATGATGGTTCGAGCACTGGCCAAGCTCCTGGTGAAGATAGTGAAGTCATCCTATAGTATGTAATCACTTGTTTTTTTCACGTTTCCATTTCCATTTTCGAAGTTTCATCTGTCGTTTCAAGTTTCTATGTTTGGCACTCCTTATGTCTTTTTGTTTATATAGTCCCCAGGCAATTTATAAGGACCCATTCAGGGGAGGAAATCATATTCTTGTAAGTTCTCTCTCTATTTCATTTTTGACAAGGTAGCGGTAAGGTTGAGCCTCCCCGGACCCCACTTTTGTGGGATTACACCGAGTATGTCATTTGAAGGAATGGACATCTTTTCTGGATTTTGATATTTAGGTCATGTGTGATGCTTATACTCCAGCTGGAGAGCCCATCCCAACAAACAAAAGGTTTAATGCTGTAAAGATATTCAGCCACCCTGAAGTCCTGACCGAGGAACCTTGGTAAGTTTAGGAATCATGGACTATGTTAGTGAATCCGGTGATAAAAGAGTCATTGTCCTATGCTAGCGCACTTCCGTGCAATAGTTCAACCAAAGCTTATCCTTTTACAGTACTAGCTTCAGGGACATATTCTATATATTACTTTACTAATACTATTGTCATTGTCCAATAACCTATTTTCCGAAGATGCAGTTAATTTGTTTGTGTGTATGTCGTCTTCAAATTCATCCTCAATAACTTCCATTATTCTCTATGATAGGTTTGGTATAGAGCAGGAGTACACTTTGTTGCAGAAAAATCTGAATTGGCCACTTGGTTGGCCAATTGGAGGATATCGTGGACCTCAGGTAGTGTGATGAGAAGCTTTTCTTGAAGTTCCTAGTTTTCTTGGTTCATAAACAAATATCTGTTTGGAAACATAATACTTTTCTTGTGCCGTGTATTGGTAATAGGGACCATACTACTGTGGTGTTGGTGCAGAAAAAGCCTTTGGCCGGGATATTGTCGACTCACACTACAAAGCTTGTTTATACACTGGTGTCAACATTGGTGGAATCAATGCTGAAGTTATGGCAGGCCAGGTAAAACTAAAAAGAAAAACAAAAACTTTCATGTGAATTTCCATGATGTCGTAAAGGGAGGATATTATAGGGAAGCATCAAATGGAGAAGAGCTGGATGAGGGGAAACTCTCATGTCCGGCTCAGAGGGCAGGGTATCTCGATTCTACTAGCATTAAGCCTGCAATGTTATTTGGTTCAAGTCAGTTGAGAATACAATTAAATAACAAAAATGTGGTCTCTCTAACAACTTAAACCTTTAGATGGTCATATACTTCAACATGGTATCAAAGCATACCTCTCGTCACCCATTATCAAAAAAAAATTCCACGTGTTTGGCCCATAAAAAAGATCAGGTCTACACGTGAGGAGGTATTGAGAATACAATTTAATAATAGAAGTGCGCTCTCTCTAACAACTTAAGCTTTGAGATGAGATGGTCACACACTTCAATGAGGTTGTTTGTGAGTGAAACTATATGTTGTCATTCCAATTTTATCTGGCTGTGCACTTAACTTATGTTCTTAGAGCCCGTTTGGATTGACTTAAAAAAAGTAACTTTTTAAAGTGCTGGAACTTATTTTTAAAATAAGTAGTTATGTGTTTGGATAAAAGTGTTGCAGTTGAAAAAAAAGTTGTTGATGTGTTTGGCAAATAAGTGCTTGTAAACACTTTTTTTTATCAAAATGTCTGAAATACCCTTTAAGCTGTTAACATGATAAAAAGTTGATTAATTTAAGGTTTTTATACTTAAAAAAAAAATTAAAACAAAATTAATTTATGTTTTACATCCATAAGTAATAATATTTTTCTATCATTCACATATTTCTTTACCACCTTATAAGAGGAATATAAATTCATATTTCAGAAATAATAATAATAATAATAATAATAATAATAATAAAATAATAATAATAATAATAGTAATAATAATAAAATAATAATAATAATAAAATAATAATAGTAATAGTAATAGTAATAATAATAATAATATAATAATAATAATAGTATAATAATAATAATAATAGTATTTATTATTATTATAATTATAATTATTATTATAATAATAATAGTATAATAATAATAGTAACAGTAACAGTAACAGTAACAGTAATAGTAATAATAATAGTAATAGTAATAATAATAATTATAATAATAATACACATAATAATAATAATATAATAATAATAATAATTATAATTTAATAATAATAAAAATAATAATAGTAATAGTAATAATAATAATAATAATAATAGTAATAGTAATAGTAATAGTAATAGTAATAGTAATAGTAATAATAATAGTAATAGTAATAGTAATAATAATAATAATTATTATTATTATTATAATAATTATAATTATAATTATTATTATTATAATAATAAGAATATAATAATAATAATAATAATAATATAATTATAATAATAATAATAATATAATAATAATAATAATTCAATATGGGCAATTTGAAAATTGTATAAAAGAATTAAGGGCAAAAAGGTAATATACTTGGTCAACATAAAAGTGCTTTTAAGTTAAAAAAAAAAAAGCTCCCCCCCCCCTAGCTTTTAGCTTTTGGTTTAAAATAAGTCATTTTTTACTTAAAATAAGTCATTTTGATAATTGCCAAACACTCTAATAAGTTAAAAACTGGCTTTTAAGCCAATTTGACCAGCTTAAAAGCCCATCCAAACAGGCTCTTAGTACTTTTGTTTTGATTCAGTGGGAATTTCAAGTTGGACCAACAGTAGGCATTTCTCCTTGTGATGACCTTTGGGTTGCGCGTTACATTCTAGTGGTAGTTCTCTTTCACCTTCCAGCTAAAGCTAATAGAAAATTTAAAAGACCAACGTTTACGTTTCCTTGTTTGTGGTTCTAACAGAGGATTGCAGAAGCAGCTGGTGTAATTGTTTCTTTTGATCCAAAACCTGTTGAGGTTAGGTTCTGTTTAATCTTTTACATAAATATATGTCCTATTATATCTTAGCATCCGTCTCGTGGCAGGGTGATTGCAATGGTACTGGTGCTCATACAAATTACAGGTACATTTTCCGTTGATACATACGTTCATCTCCCTCATCCCGGGTAACTTCCAATGAAAGGTAAAAAAGAGTTTGACTTGACATATTGTTGTTGTGATTAGTACCAAGTCTATGAGGGCTGATGGAGGGCTAGAAGTAATAAACAAGGCCATTGAGAAGCTAGGCAAGAGGCACAAGGAACATATTGCTGCTTATGGGGTTGGCAACGAACGTCGTCTCACAGGAGAGCATGAAACAGCTGACATTAACACCTTCAATTTTGTAATAACACTTGTGACCTAAGACAAGTCTGTTTATTGATTGATCAATCAATGTAGATATCGTTTTTAGGGTGTGGTCAATGTAGTTCTTTGACATGATTTGTCTTATCGATCTTTTACATAGGGAATTGCTGATCGTAGAGCATCGATAAGGATCGGAAGGGACACACAGAAAGCAGGAAAGGGATACTTGGAGGATAGAAGGCCTTCTTCAAACATGGATCCTTATGTGGTAACTTCTATGATTGCAGAAACAACCATCCTCTGGAAACCATGACACTTCTATGCAGAGGCGAATCCAGGATTTTAAGAAAACGGGTGCACCATTGCTTTAGAATTTCGTTTTTTTTTAAAAAAAACTAGTGTTATTAGTTACTACAAAAATTGAAGTGAATTGTAGTTGGCTGAGATTGAACTCAGGACCTGGCTGTCAAACCAGTGAACCATCCAGCAACTTTAAGAACGGGTTCACAAGTATTTATTTAATATGTTTTTTTAATAATTATACAAGTAATATATCGATTTAATATGTTTTTTTAATAATTATACAAGTAATATATCGAGTTTAGTCGGATGACCACGGGTTCGGGTGACCCAATTTTTACACATAAATTCGCCACTGCTTCTATGATTGTCTTCTTGCATGTGAATGAAAATAACAAAAAGGATAGTACAAAGGTGAATTTTATGCCTTCATAAGAGTTGATGAAACTTTAATATAATATTGTTAGCCACTAGCCAGGTTCTACATCACACCCCTTGAGGTGCGACTCTTTTTTGGACGATGCTAATGTGGGATACTTTGTTCAACAAGTTGTTTTTTTTTACATAATTTTGAAGTCTACCTAAATAGCTACTACGTATTTGCTCAATTTTTTCTAATAAAATATTCTCTCTGTTTTAGATTTGTTCGTCCTGTTTGCTTGATACAAGTTTAAGAAAGTAGAAACATTTGTTTTGAATATTGTGGTTTTAAATGAATGATATATCATACCAAAAATATTTGTTCATTTTATAGTCTTAAATATGTGGAGAAATTGAAATTAAAGAATTACGAGGAATGGAATATTCTTTTAGTACATACAAATTAATACGGAGGGAGTAGTTATATTTATCATCCTACAAATTATAGTGTGACCACAGTTAAGTCTGGGCCAACAATAAATAGTCCACTATATAAAAATAGGGATTACACAGTACATTAGAAAATGCTTTGGCCAGAAGCAAGTGTTTATGTTGATAGCACATGTCAATTTGTCAATATAACATGTTTATATACAACATAGTCAATTTCATTGTAAGAGTTAAAAAAATTGCTTGAGACTACTGAGCTCCATTCAATGGACAATTTTCCTATAGTTATCAATCAGTCACCCAGTAAAGTTATGTTATTTTTTTATTAGTTGCTTCTTATAAGCGGTAAATTCAAGATTTAAATTTTATGGTTTTAAATTGAAATTCTTATCTCAACTATAAATACATAATTAATATGAGCATCAACATATGTATTTTTTTTAAATCTATAGTAGAGAAACAATATGTAAAAGGATGTATAGATCAATTAATAATTCATTAGCTTCTGAAGTAATGAATTAAATGCATTACCTTCTAAAAAATTAACTAATTTTCTAACTTTAATTTTATTCATGCATGTACAAATCTTCAAAACTATTTATTTCGAATTTTTCAGTTTCATAAATATTATATGCCTAATCACATCAATTATATCAACAATAAAATGAACAATAATTTTATAACATCCATTATTAGCAAACAAATGTTACACTTTAAATTTGTATCATAAAATTTTTAACAATATCTAAAAACTAAAGATAAAAATTCAATGTGTTAAATGATTGCAGATAAGTTTAAAGCCACACTTTGGTGGCTTTTTTGAATTCGATAATCTTATTTGCGTGATTAGAAAAGCATAAATGGTTATAGAAGTAGAATTTGTAAAATAAAAAGGACAGAACATTCATATAAATATACTCCTCCAATCACTTTTGTTGGTTAACTATATTAATAAATTTTAATCTAAAAAATAAAATAGAAAAAGTTAAATATTTTCTTTTGTTGGTTAACTATATTAATAAATTTTAATCTAAAAAATAAAATAGAAAAAGTTAAATATTTTCTTTTTTTGGCTATCATGCCGACATAACTTCCTTTCTGTTGCCTCTATTTCTTTGATTCTGCACTCAAAAAGAAAATAAATTACCCTAATATTAAAATTACCTTTGATTACTCTGTTAAGGCATCACACACAATAGAAACATCGTTGGACCACCACTCTCCATTGTTTCTTCATAAGCTTTCCGTCATTCAACCGCCATCGACTTTCAAAGATAAAAATATGTTAAAATTAGCAAAGAATAGATCATCACTATCTAATCATTGAGTAGAAATTTTTAAAATTTTAAATACTCTATTCATTATTTGAAGAAACACATAAAAATCCTCAAAATGGAGTGATTTTCTTGACTTCCTTGTTGTTGGATTTGAGAAAACTGTAAACTGATCAGTGATTTAATTTAAAAGGGACTTCCGCATTAAAAATAAACTAATGAATCAGTTCTTTTTAATAGGAAAAATGGTATGAAATAACAAATTATTAATTCAAATTAAATGATATTGACATAGTTTATTTTATTTATAATTCGCAGCAAACATACCATCCTTTTGCCATCTGATTCAGTATATAATTAGTCATTTTCGGTATACAATTACCCATTTGGTTTACAAATGTATAAAATGTGTTTGTGTTTGTATAAAATGAGATATACAAATACAAATACATATATTTTCGTTCTATACACTTATAATCATACAAATACAGATTTTATTATACAAATTACAATGTATAAATGAATTTATACAAAACTGAACAGTTTGTATAAAATTGAATGTATCTAGAGAATTATACAAATCAAAAGCTCCATAATAAACATAAAATTTGTTATTGAGCGCAATTATGCAAACTATAGCTATAACATACAAATATGATTTTTATGTTTGTTATATGTGAAAGTTGTCTGTTTAATATCGTTTATGTAATTTTTTTCTTTTACGAAGTTATTTACTAAAAAAATGATAGAGGGACTGTTAAATTTTATTATTTAGATTGTGGTTTAGTTAATTTTTTAAACTATGGAAAAGTGGTATATTGAAAATAATACATTTTGCGTACAATTTTGATTTTTTTAAAGATACTTAGTAATACAATTTGTGTAATTTGTTTTATGTTTTTACATATTTAAATAATAAAAAATATGAAAATGTAATGTTTCAGAAAAAAGTTTGAACAACTGAAAATCTGAGAATATTTGTGTTTGTGAAGCGGTTTGTCTTAGTTAAAAAATATTAAATCGTATTTTTTTTTTGCGTTGACATTTGACATTAATTGTAAAATTACATTTTAAAAATATTTTAATATCAAATTTTAAAGATATTAAAAATCCGATTATTTATTAATTTATTAAATACAGAAATTTCAAGAATAATTGTGATGCTGACACATGACACTTTTCACCTCTCCTATTATAAATAGGTAGATGTTTAGTTATTTTAATTATAAATTTGACAATAATTAATGAGGGTAAAAATGAAAAGTGATGTCTAATTTATGTCTTAATTTTCTTTTCATAAAGAGTGTAAAATACCTCAACAATTCAATTAATTTGAAATGAAGAGAGTAATATTTACAAAACCAGACCCACTATTTTATACTTCCTCTATCCAACAATATCTATCAACTATTGACTTTGCACAAGAATTAAGAAACCGTTAATGATAGGGGTAATTTTACCAAATTACTCTTATTAATTATAAGTCATCTAAACATTGAAAAATAAATAGTATTTAATAACAAGGTAAAATAGACACAACATGGTAAACTATTCATTGGTTTTATAAACGAAACAAGTATTATTAGACATCTCAAAATAGTATAGTGGACAAGTAAAGATAGACATAGGGAATATCTACCAACCAATTATTTCATACGTGAACAAAATTTATGATTAGTGGATATTATCACTCTTACCAACCTTTAGATCATTAATATTGGATATAATTATTACTCTCACCAACCAAATTTATAGTTGATCTTATTACTCTTATCAAAATTTCAATCATATATATCGAGAAATAAAGTAACTATTACTTTCACGAGTTTTTGGCCAAAATCATCCTAAAATTATACTCAAACTTAAACTACATCCTTAAAGTATCAGTTTTAGCATAAAACATCCTCTAAGTATTTAAATGTGAACAATTTTCACCCATCTACTTGAATTTATCAGAAAACTAACATATCCACAAAAATCAAGTCATCCCTTCATAATTATACTTCTTAGATATGCCAAAAATACTATCGTGAAACTATTCGGTAATTGAGTTTAGCATTATGCAAAATCTTTTAATTTGACGATTTTTTTCATTTATTTTTCATGTAATTTGATATTAAAAATATTATTAGTTGAAATGTGTTTCTTCTCAATTGAATATGCTAGAAGTGGCGTTTGTTGGAGACTTCCACTTCTTTCTGTTACTAAATGAGAAAAAGAACAGATTATGTATCCTCACACCTTTCAAACATTTTTTATTTCAGTAAGCAATAGTGTCTAAGATTTTTAATAATTTTTTTCGGGAACTTATAACAGGTAATGAAATTACGCAAGAAAACTTTTGTTGATAGTCACGTGAACCACTCATTTTTTGTAGAATTCCTTAGTTTTTTGATGATATCTAACAGAATGATGGAAATTTTTCACTTTTAAACACTTGAATGATGTTTTCTGCTAAGAATGATACTTTAAAGATGTAGTTTAAGTTTGGTGTATGGCTTAAGGATGTTTTTGGCCAAAAACTCTACTCTCACCAACAAATTAACATTATTAGACTTAGCAACTTTTAATATTTATATGAAAAAGGGTCAAAAATATTCTTAAACTATCTGAAATAGCTCATATTTACCCTTAAACTATATTTCGGCTAAAAACTACCCTTTCCATCAAATTATTGGGTCAAAAGTACCCTTCTTATTAAGAGAAGTTGTTAAATGTCATGTGGATGCCACATTGCATGCCAATATTAATTACTCTTTTTTTCACTGCCACATAGACTAAGACCTCATTTGTTTGCACTTAATAAAGGTCTGAATCTGAATTGTTCGGACTTCAACCTATTAAGTGCATTTGTTTTGATTCAATCTAACCACTTAATTCCTCTGAAAGCCTCTGACTGAGTCAGACTTAGTATAGAGTCTGAAAATCG